AGAGACTCACTCACTCAGAGACTCACTCACTCAGAGACTCACTCTGAGCGTTGCCTCCCGTGACGATGACGTTCTGTGCCAGGGCATGCTGGTCCTCACTCGAGAACCTGACTCACACGCACACACTCACTCACTCAGAGACTCACTCACTCAGAGACTCACTCACTCAGAGACTCACTCACTCAGAGACTCACTCACTCAGAGACTCACTCACTCAGAGACTCACTCACTCAGAGACTCACTCACTCAGAGACTCACTCAGAGACTCACTCAGAGACTCACTCAGAGACTCACTCTGAGCGTTGCCTCCCGTGACGATGACGTTCTGTGCCAGGGCATGCTGGTCCTCACTCGAGAACCTGACTCACACGCACACACTCACTCACTCAGAGACTCAATCACTCAGAGACTCACTCACTCAGAGACTCACTCAGAGACTCACTCACTCACTCAGAGACTCACTCACTCAGAGACTCACTGAGAGACTCACTCAGAGACTCACTCACTCAGAGACTCACTCACTCAGAGACTCACTCACTCAGAGACTCACTCACTCAGAGACTCACTCACTCAGAGACTCACTCACTCAGAGACTCACTCACTCAGAGACTCACTCAGAGACTCACTCAGAGACTCACTCAGAGACTCACTCTGAGCGTTGCCTCCTGTGACGATGACGTTCTGTGCCAGGGCATGCTGGTCCTCACTCGAGAACCTGACTCACACGCACACACTCACTCAGAGACTCACTCACTCAGAGACTCACTCACTCAGAGACTCACTCACTCAGAGACTCACTCAGAGACTCACTCACTCACTCAGAGACTCACACGCACACACTCACTCACTCAGAGACTCACTCACTCACTCAGAGACTCACTCACTCAGAGACTCACTCACTCATAGACTCACTCACTCAGAGACTCACTCACTCAGAGACTCACTCACTCAGAGACTCACTCAGAGGCTCACTCAGAGACTCACTCACTCAGAGGCTCACTCAGAGACTCACTCACTCAGAGACTCACTCAGAGACTCACTCACTCAGAGACTCACTCACTCAGAGACCCACTCAGAGACTCACTCACTCAGAGACTTAGTCACTCACTCAGAGACTCACTCACACAGAGACTCACTCTCTCACTCAGAGACTCACTCACTCAGAGACTCACTCACTCAGAGACTCACTCAGAGACTCACTCACTCAGAGACTCACTCACTCAGAGACTCACTCACTCAGAGACTCACTCACTCAGAGACTCACTCACTCAGAGACTCACTCACTCAGAGACTCACTCACTCAGAGACTCACTCACTCAGAGACTCACTCACTCAGAGACTCGCTCACTCAGAGACTCACTCACTCAGAGACTCACTCACTCAGAGACTCACTCACTCAGAGACTCACTCAGAGACTCACTCAGAGACTCACTCAGAGACTCACTCAGAGACTCACTCTGAGCGTTGCCTCCCGTGACGATGACGTTCTGTGCCAGGGCATGCTGGTCCTCACTCGAGAACCTGACTCACACGCACACACTCACTCACTCAGAGACTCACTCACTCAGAGACTCACTCACTCAGAGACTCACTCAGAGACTCACTCACTCAGAGACTCACTCACTCAGAGACTCACTCACTCAGAGACTCACTCAGAGACTCACTCACTCAGAGACTCACTCAGAGACTCACTCACTCAGAGACTCACTCACTCAGAGACTCACTCACTCAGAGACTCACTCAGGGACTCACTCACTCAGAGACTCACTCACTCAGAGACTCACTCACTCAGAGACTCACTCAGAGACTCACTCAGAGACTCACTCTGAGCGTTGCCTCCCGTGACGATGACGTTCTGTGCCAGGGCATGCTGGTCATCACTCGAGAAACTGACTCACACGCACACACTCACTCACTCAGAGACTCACTCACTCAGAGACTCACTCACTCAGAGACTCACTCAGAGACTCACTCACTCAGAGACTCACTCACTCAGAGACTCACTCAGAGACTCACTCACTCAGAGACTCACTCAGAGACTCACTCACTCAGAGACTCACTCACTCAGAGACTCACGCAGAGACTCACTCACTCAGAGACTCACTCACTCAGAGACTCACTCAGAGACTCACTCACTCAGAGACTCACTCAGAGACTCACTCAGAGACTCACTCAGAGACTCACTCACTCAGAGACTCACTCACTCAGAGACTCACTCACTCACTCAGAGACTCACTCAGAGACTCACTCACTCAGAGACTCACTCAGAGACTCACGTAGAGACTCACTCACTCAGAGACTCACTCACTCAGAGACTCACTCAGAGACTCACTCACTCAGAGACTCACTCAGAGACTCACTCAGAGACTCACTCAGAGACTCACTCACTCAGAGACTCACTCACTCAGAGACTCACTCACTCAGAGACTCACTCACTCACTCAGAGACTCACTCAGAGACACACTCACTCAGAGACTCACTCACTCAGAGACTCACTCAGAGACTCACTCTGAGCGTTGCCTCCTGTGACGATGACGTTCTGTGCCAGGGCATGCTGGTCCTCACTCGAGAACCTGACTCACACGCACACACTCACTCACTCAGAGACTCACTCACTCAGAGACTCACTCACTCAGAGACTCACTCACTCAGAGACTCACTCAGAGACTCACTCACTCAGAGACTCACACGCACACTCACTCACTCAGAGACTCACTCACTCACTCAGAGACTCACTCACTCAGAGACTCACTCACTCATAGACTCACTCACTCATAGACTCACTCACTCAGAGACTCACTCACTCAGAGACTCACTCAGAGGCTCACTCAGAGACTCACTCACTCAGAGGCTCACTCAGAGACTCACTCACTCAGAGACTCACTCACTCAGAGACTCACTCACTCAGAGACCCACTCAGAGACTCACTCACTCAGAGACTTAGTCACTCACACAGAGACTCACTCACACAGAGACTCACTCTCTCACTCAGAGACTCACTCACTCAGAGACTCACTCACTGACTGAGTGACTAAGTAACTGACTGACTGAGTAAATGAGTGACTGAGTGAGTGATTGACTGAGTGAGTGACTGAGTAACTGACTGAGTGAGTGACTGAGTGAGTGAGTAAATGAGTGACTGAGTGATTGACTGAGTGAGTGACTGAGTGAGGGACTGAGTGAGTGACTGACTGAGTGAGTGACTGAGTGAATGAGTGAGTGAATGAGTGAATGAATGAGTGACTGAGTGAATGAATGAGTGACTGAGTGAATGAGTGACTCACCGACTCAGCACGAAGGCCAGCTTCTCTGGTGACTGAATGAGTGACTGAGTGACTGAGTGAGTGACTGAGTGAATGAGTGAGTGAATGAGTGAGTGAATGAGTGACTGAGTGAATGAGTGACTGAGTGAATGAGTGACTGAGTAACTGACTGAGTGAGTGAATGAGTGACTGAGTGAATGACTGAGTGACTGAGTGAGTGACTGATTGAGTGACTGACAGACTGAGTGACTGAGTGAGTGACTGATTGAGTGACTGACTGAGTGGCTGACTGAGTGAGTGACTAACTGAGTGACTGACTGAGTGACTGATTGAGTGAGTGACTCACCGACTCAGCACGAAGGCCAGCGTCTCTGGTGACTGAGTGACTGAGTGAGTGACTGAGTGACTGACTGAGTGACTGACTGACTGAGTGACTGACTGAGTAAGTGACTGACTGAGTGACTGACTGAGTGAGTGACTGAGTGAGTGACTGACTGACTGAGTGACTGAGTGAGTGAGTGACTGAGTGACTGACTGACTGAGTGACTGAGTGAGTGACTGACTGACTGAGTGACTGACTGACTGAGTGACTGACTGAGTGACTGACTGAGTGACTGAGTGACTGAGTGAATCACCGATTCAGCACGAAGGCCAGCGTCTCTGGTGACTGAGTGACTGACTGACTGAGTGACTGACTGACTGAGTGACTGACTGAGTGACTGACTGAGTGACTGACTGACTGAGTGACTGACTGAGTGAGTGACTGAATGAGTGACTGACTGAGTGACTGAGTAACTGACTGACTGAGTGACTGACTGAGTGACTGACTGAGTGACTGAGTAACTGACTGACTGAGTGACTGAGTGACTGACTGAGTGACTGAGTAACTGACTGAGTGACTGACTGAGTGACTGAGTAACTGACTGACTGAGTGACTGAGTAACTGACTGACTGAGTGACTGACTGAGTGACTGACTGAGTGACTGACTGAGTGACTCACCGATTCAGCACGAAGGCCAGCGTCTCTGGTGACTGAGTGACTGACTGACTGAGTGACTGACTGACTGAGTGACTGACTGAGTGGCTGACTGAGTGAGTGACTGACTGAGTGACTGACTGACTGACTGACTGAGTGACTGACTGAGTGACTGAGTGAGTGACTGACTGACTGAGTGAATGACTGACTGACTGACTGAGTGACTGACTGAGTGACTGAGTAACTGACTGACTGAGTGACTGAGTGACTGACTGAGTGACTGAGTAACTGACTGACTGAGTGACTGAGTGACTGACTGAGTGACTGAGTGACTGACTGACTGACTGACTGAGTGACTGACTGACTGAGTGACTGACTGAGTGACTGACTGACTGACTGACTGAGTGACTGACTGAGTGACTGAGTGAGTGACTGACTGACTGAGTGAGTGACTGCGTGACTGACTGAGTGACTGACTGAGTGAGTGACTGACTGAGTGACTGAGTGACTGACTGACTGAGTGAGTGACTGACTGAGTGACTGACTGAGTGAGTGACTGACTGAGTGAGTGACTGACTGACTGAGTGACTGAGTGAGTGACTGACTGACTGAGTGACTGACTGACTGAGTGACTGAGTGACTGACTGACTGAGTGACTGACTGACTGACTGACTGAGTGACTGACTGAGTGACTGAGTGACTGACTGAGTGACTGACTGACTGACGGACTGACTGAGTGACTGACTGACTGAGTGACTCACCGACTCAGCACGAAGGCCAGCGTCTCGGCCAGCCCTGCGCTGTCCTCCCCGATCAGTGAGGGCTGGAAGAGAACTTCAGGGGCACGCACTCGCTCCAGTCCCACGTGCATCTGGTAGAGCTCTGCTAGGCGTGCCAGCTGCTGCGGCGGCTGCATGTGTGTGTGTGTGTACGTACGTGTGTGTGTGCGTGTATGTGTGTGAATGAGACCCATAGACTCATCACACAGAGAACCATAGATTCATCATAGAGACCCATAGACTCATCACACAGCAGAGACCCATAGACTCATCACACAGCAGAGACCCATAGACTCATCACACAGCAGAGACCCATAGACTCATCACACAGCAGAGAGCCATAGACTCATCACACAGAGAGAGCCATAGACTCATCACACAGCAGAGAGCCATAGACTCATCACACAGCAGAGACACATAGACTCATCACACAGCAGAGACCCATAGACTCACCACACAGAGACCCATAGACTCATCACACAGCAGAGAGCCATAGACTCATCACACAGCAGAGACCCATAGACTCATCACACAGCAGAGACCCATAGACTCATCACACAGCAGAGACCCATAGACTCATCACACAGCAGAGACACATAGACTCATCACCCAGCAGAGACCCATAGACTCACCACACAGAGACCCATAGACTCATCACACAGCAGAGAGCCATAGACTCATCACACAGCAGAGACCCATAGACTCATCACACACAGAGACCCATAGACTCATCACACAGCAGAGAGCCATAGACTCATCACACAGCAGAGACCCATAGACTCATCACACAGCAGAGACCCATAGACTCATCACACAGCAGAGACCCATAGACTCATCACACAGCAGAGACCCATAGACTCATCACACAGCAGAGACCCATAGACTCATCACACAGCAGAGACCCATAGACTCATCACAGAGCAGAGAGCCATAGACTCATCACACACAGAGACCCATAGACTCATCACACAGCAGAGAGCCATAGACTCATCACACAGCAGAGACCCATAGACTCATCACACAGCAGAGAGCCATAGACTCATCACACAGCAGAGACCCATAGACTCATCACACAGAGAGACCCATAGACTCATCACACAGCAGAGACACATAGACTCATCACACAGCAGAGACCCATAGACTCATCACACACAGAGACCCATAGACTCATCACACAGCAGAGACCCATAGACTCATCACACAGCAGAGACCCATAGACTCATCACACAGCAGAGACCCATAGACTCATCACACACAGAGACCCATAGACTCATCACACACAGAGAGCCATAGACTCATCACACAGCAGAGAGCCATAGACTCATCACACAGCAGAGACCCATAGACTCATCACACAGCAGAGACCCATAGACTCATCACCCAGCAGAGACCCATAGACTCATCACACAGCAGAGACACAGACTCATCACGCAGCAGAGACCCATAGACTCATCACACAGCAGAGACCCATAGACTCATCACCCAGCAGAGACCCATAGACTCATCACACAGCAGAGACACATAGACTCATCACACAGCAGAGACCCATAGACTCATCACACAGCAGAGACCCATAGACTCATCACACAGCAGAGACCCATAGACTCATCACACAGAGAGACCCATAGACTCATCACACAGCAGAGACACATAGACTCATCACACAGCAGAGACCCATAGACTCATCACACACAGAGACCCATAGACTCATCACACAGCAGAGACCCATAGACTCATCACACAGCAGAGACCCATAGACTCATCACACAGCAGAGACCCATAGACTCATCACACACAGAGACCCATAGACTCATCACACACAGAGAGCCATAGACTCATCACACAGCAGAGAGCCATAGACTCACCACACAGAGACCCATAGACTCATCACACAGCAGACAGCCATAGACTCATCACACAGCAGAGACCCATAGACTCATCACACACAGAGACCCATAGACTCATCACACTGCAGAGACCCATAGACTCACCACAGAGACCCATAGACTCATCACACAGCAGAGACCCATAGACTCATCACACAACAGAGACCCATAGACTCATCACTCGGCAGAGACACATAGACTAATCACACAGCAGAGACCCATAGACTCATCACACAGCAGAGACCCATAGACTCATCACACAGCAGAGACACATAGACTCATCACACAGCAGAGACCCATAGACTCACCACACAGAGACCCATAGACTCATCACACAGCAGAGAGCCATAGACTCATCACACAGCAGAGACCCATAGACTCATCACACAGCAGAGACCCATAGACTCATCACACAGCAGAGACCCATAGACTCATCACACAGCAGAGACCCATAGACTCATCACACAGCAGAGACACATAGACTCATCACCCAGCAGAGACCCATAGACTCACCACACAGAGACCCATAGACTCATCACACAGCAGAGAGCCATAGACTCATCACACAGCAGAGACCCATAGACTCATCACACACAGAGACCCATAGACTCATCACACAGCAGAGACCCATAGACTCATCACACAGCAGAGACCCCTAGACTCATCACCCACCAGAGACACATAGACTCATCACACAGCAGAGACCCATAGACTCATCACACAGCAGAGACCCATAGACTCACCACACAGAGACCCATAGACTCATCACACAGCAGAGAGCCATAGACTCATCACACAGCAGAGACCCATAGACTCATCACACAGCAGAGACCCATAGACTCACCACACAGCAGAGACCCATAGACTCATCACACAGCAGAGACCCATAGACTCACCACACAGAGACCCATAGACTCATCACACAGCAGAGAGCCATAGACTCATCACACAGCAGAGACCCATAGACTCATCACACAGCAGAGACCCATAGACTCATCACACAGCAGAGACCCATAGACTCACCACACAGAGACCCATAGACTCTTCACACAGCAGAGACCCATAGACTCATCACACAGCAGAGACCCATAGACTCATCACACAGCATAGACCCATAGACTCATCACACACAGAGACCCATAGACTCATCATAGAGACCCGTAGAGTCACCTGCATGAGATTGGGTAACTTGTCTGGCTCTGGCTCCTGGTCACCCATCAGCTGTTCCAAGTCACTCAGCTCCTGTGAGCCATCAACATCATCATCACCACCATCACCATCATCACCAACATCACCACCATCACCAACATGAACACCATCATCACCATGAACACCACCATCATCACCAACATCATCAACATCATCAACATCACCACCACCATCACCACCACCATCACCACCATCACCACCACCATCACCACCATCACCACCACCACCACCATCACCACCATCAGCACTCCCATTGTCGTCACGGCGATGGCCGCTGCTCGTGGTGAGTTCCCCGCTCACCGCTCACCGCTCACCACTCACCACTCGCTCACCACTCACCGCTCACCGCTCGCTCACCGCTCACCACTCGCTCACCGCTCGCTCACCACTCACCGCTCACCACTCGCTCACCGCTCGCTCACCACTCACCACTCGCTCACCACTCACCGCTCACCACTGACCATTCGCCGCTCACCACTCACCGCTCACCACTCGCTCACCACTCACCACTCTCCGCGCACCACTCTCACCACTCTCTCACCACTCGCTCACCTCATCATCCGAGTCGTCATCGTCGTCATCATCGTCGTCATCGTCGTCTTCCTCTTCGTCCTCGTCCTTGCAGCTCGACCTCTGACCCCCGGCTGGCCGGACGACGTCACGTGACCCGGTGGGGGAGATGGGGGGGGGAGGGAGCGTCATCATCGTCACCATCGTCACCACCACACCACCATCACATCACCAACATCACATCACCAACATCACATCACCGCCACCACCATTATCACCACCACACCATCATCATCACATCACCAACATCACATCACCAACATCACATCACCGCCACCACCATTATCACCACCACACCATCATCATCACCATCACATCACCAACATCACATCACCGCAACCGTCACCACCACACCATCATCATCATCACCATCACATCACCAACATCACATCACCATCGTCACCACCACACCACCATCACATCACCAACATCACATCACCGCCACCACCATCGTCACCACCACACCACCATCATCATCACCATCACATCACCAACATCACATCACCGCCATCATCACCACCACCATCATCACCATCACCACCACCACCATCATCGTCATCACCACCATCATCGTCATCATCACCACCACCATCATCACCATCACCACCACCACCATCGTTATCACCACCGCCGACGTCACCACTTACTCGACACAACGTCGATGTCCGGCTCCGCACCGCCACCACCACCGCCACCGCCACCGCCACCACCACCACCACCACCGCCACCACCACCGCCACCACCACCACCGCCACCACCACCACCACCGCCACCACCACCGCCACCACCGCCACCACCGCCACCACCACCACCACCACCGCCACCACCACCGCGTGTGACTTCCGCGACGTTGGCGTGGAGCCGAGCGATGGCACCACGCAGCTCCAGCGCCGACTCCATCTTCAGCTCCCGCAGCGCTCGCACGAAGCGCTCCTCCTCGCCCCTCGCCCGCAGCGCCTGGGGCAGCAGGAGGGGCAGCAGTAGGGGCAGCAGTAGGGGCAGCAGGAGGGATTGTAGGGGCAGTAGGGGCAGCAGTAGGGGCAGCAGTAGGGCAGCAGTAGGGGCAGTAGGAGGGGCAGCAGTAGGGGCAGCAGTAGGGGTTGTAGGGGCAGCAGGAGGGGCAGCAGTAGGGGCAGCAGTAGGGGTTGTAGGGGCAGCAGCAGTAGGGGCAGCAGTAGGGGTTGTAGGGGCAGCAGCAGTAGGGGTTGTAGGGGCAGCAGTAGGGCAGCAGGAGGGGCAGCAGTAGGGGCAGCAGTAGGGGCAGCAGTAGGGGCAGCAGTAGGGGCAGCAGTAGGGGCAGCAGTAGGGGCAGCAGTAGGAGCAGCAGGAGGAGCAGCAGGAGGGGTTGTAGGGGTAGCAGTAGGGGCAGCAGTAGGGGCAGCAGTAGGGGTTGTAGGGGCAGCAGTAGGGGTTGTAGGGGCAGCAGCAGGAGGGGCAACTTTTTGGATTTCCGCCGAAGGTTCCCTCACGGACACCCCCCCCCACACCCCCCCCCCCCCCACGCACCCCTCCACACGCCACAAAGTGGCGGTGACGTCACCATGACGCTTGTGCCAGGCCATTTGCACCTTGAGGCCACGTGAAGTGTCGAACGCCCACTGGCAGGAGGTCACGGGGCAGACCCAGGTGCCACGGGTCGACTGACTGAGATGACTGGCTGGTGCACCACCTGTGCCCCCTACTGTGCCAACCTGCTGTGCTTTAGCCACCCGGCGCTCCGCTCGTTGTTGTGAGCGTCGCTCCTCCGCCCTCCGTTGTTGTTGGAGGGGGACTGCCTCCAACTGCCCAGTAGCCTCAAGGTGCACCTAGCCTGGCACTAGCCCAGTAGCGTCCTTCACGAGCCTCCTCCATAGAGGCCGATCTTGACACCGCTGGTACCGGTCATCGGCAAGTCCACTCAGCTCCACGTCCTCCTGTACCACATCACTCCATCTCTTCTCTAGCCCGTGCCGCGCCCGTTTAGCCCCCTCGATCCGGCCGAACAAAAGCTGTTTCGGCATGCGGTGGCTGGGCATGCGGGCTACATGACCCAGCCAACGCAGCCTTGCCTGCCGGAGGAGCTCATCGATGGGACCTTGCCCAGATCTTTCAAGGATTCGTGAGCTCCTCATACAATCCAGCCTGGTTAAACCCAGGATGGATCATAGGCAGGTCAACCCTAAATGTTTCCAGTCCTTCACGGCGTAGTGTGTTACCAATTGTTTTCTTAGTGACTATGGTCCCAGCTGCCTTGAGATCATTGGCAAGATCCTCCCGTGTAGTTCTGGGCTGATTCATCACCGTTCTCATGATCATTGCAACTCCAGGAGGTGAGATCTTGCATGGAGCCCCAGGCCGAGGGAGATTGACAGTTCTTTTGTGTTTCTTCCATTTGCGAATAATCGCACCAACTGTTGTCACCTTCTCACCAAGCTGCTTGGCAATGGTCTTGTAGCCCATTCCAACCTTGTGTAGGTCTACAATCTTGTCCCTGACATCCTTGGAGAGCTCTTTGGTCTTGGCCATGGTGGAGAGTTTGGAATCTGATTGATTGATTGCTTCTGTGGACAGGTGTCTTTTATACAGTTAACAAGCTGAAATTAGGAGCACTGCCTTTAAGAGTGTGCTCCTAATCTCAGCTCGTTACCTGTATAAAGACACCTGGGAGCCAGAAATCTGATTGAGAGGGGGTCAAATACTTATTTCCCTCATTAAAATGCAAATCAATTTATAACATTTTTGACATGCGTTTTTCTGGATTTTGTTGTTGTTATTCTGTCTCTCACTGTTCAAATAAACCTACCATTAAAATTATAGAATGATCATTTCTTTGTCAGTGGGCAAACATACAAAATCAGCAGGGGATCAGATACTTTTTTCCCTCACTGTAGGTGTGGTGCTGCAGGTTACTTTTTTGATGGAGTTAAATAGTGATTTGTGATCGTGGGCCATTGAGGCAGACTCCATCTCCTCAGCAACCCGCGACAACCACCCATCCTTGCAGCGCCTCACGGCTCTCCGAACCTCCGAGTAAAGGCTGCGGTAAGTCTCCTCATTCTCCGACTTGGGATGCTGTAGACAATAACAGTGGGCCTGTTGCTTTTTCTCAACCAGCCTGAACACCTCCTCTGTCAGCCAGGGTCTCTGGGGAGGTCTGGACAGTATACCCAAAGCAGCCATTGCAGCTGCATGAGTCACAGTCCTAAACCTCGCCCATTTACCCTCGACATCAGGAGGAGTGGGGGACGATGCTAACCCCAGCCGCAAGCGATGATTAAATTCTCGCTTGCAAATTTCATCACCTAGCTGAGACCAGGCCACCTTGGGTTTGAATGGGGTCCTGGGTGAACACCCACCACCGGAGTGGAAGAATGGCAGGTGCATCTTACAGATGACTAGTCGATGGTCAGAGGGCAGATCAGCTCCACGGTAGGTCCTGGTGTCAAGGACATGGGCACGCATCCGCTGGTCCGTCACGATTTAGTCCAGCAGATGTTCTTGCTTGGACCCGGCATGCATCCATGATGTTGTGCGGATGTGCCGATGCCAGAACAGCGTGTTGGTAATTACAAGCCCATGGGCGGCACAAAAATCTAGCAGCCTCCTACTGTTGTTATTGAGCTGATCTGGCCTATGCCCTCCAATCACTCCAGACCAGGTGCCAGCATCATGACCAACTCGGGCATTGAAGTCACCCAACAAGATGACTCTATCCCGAGGGGCCACTTTAGCCAGCACCTGTGGCAGGAGGTCAAAGAAGGCATCTGACTCATCGGCCTTGCCTACATCTCTCCACGGATGTTCGTCTTCGGTGGGGGCATAAGTAACCACGACCACCATTCCTCGCCTCTGGTTGATGGGAAGGCGAGTAGCCTGAGGCTTACAGCTTCCCACACCTCACCGCCACGCCCCCTTCATTCTTTTGTTCAGGAGAAGACCCACACCCTGTTGCTTGGCAGTCTCCTGCCCCGAGTAGAGGACTGTCCACCCCTCATGGTGGCAGGATCCAGAGCCGGTCCACCGGACCCTCCTGAATGCCACAGAGATCCAGGCGGTACCGGTCCAGCTCCCGACAGAGGAGTGGGCAGCCTCTCCTCCTCCGCAGCGAGCGTTCGAACATTCTCCCCACACACCCCCCCACACACCCCCCCCCCCCCACACATCCCCCCACACATCCCCCCACACCTGCACAGCCATCAGCCTCTCCAGCCTCTGCTGTAGCAGCTGCAGCCTCCCTGCGGCACCACCGCCACCACCGCCACCACCGCCACCACCTCCACCGCCACCGCCGCCACCACCACCACCGCCACCGCCGCTCCTCCTCCTCTTCCTCCTGTGGTTCCCTTCCAGCAGCCGCCGCTGCTGCTGCTGCTGCTGCTGCTGCTGCTGCTGCTGCTGCTGCTGCTGCAGCCGCTGCTGCTGCTGCTGCTGCTGCTGCTGCAGCCGCTGACGCTCCTCCAGCCCCACCGTCCCGGCCGCCACCGCGGCCGCGGCAGCCGCGGCCGCTGCGGCGACACGGCCCGGCACCGGCAGCTGGTAGCGCCGCACCTGAGCGTGGTAGTAGTCAGGGCAGCGCCAACGCTCCAACTCTGTCGTGGTGGGGGGAGGGGGTGGGGGGGAGAGGGGGGAGGGGTGGGTGGGTTGGTAGGAGAGGGGTGGGGGAGAGGGGTTAATGGGTGAGTTGGTGGTGTGGGGGAGAGAGGGGTGGGTGGGTGTGGGTGGAGAGGGGTGGGTGGGTGGGTGGGTGTGGGGGGAGAGGGGTGGGTGGGGAGAGGGGTGGGTGGGTGGGGAGAGGGGTGGGTGGGGGGGGGGAGAGAGCAGATGGTGGGTGGTAGGGGAGAGGAGTTGGTGGGTGGTAGGGGAGAGGAGTTGGTGGGTGAGTTGGTGTGGGGGAGAGAGGGGTGGGTGGGTGGTAGGTAGGGGAGAGGGGTGGGTGGGTGGGGAGAGGGGTTGGTGGGTGGGGGGGGAGACGAGTTGGTGGGTGGTAGGGGAGAGGGGTGGGTGGGTGGTAGGGGAGAGAGGGGTTGGTGGGTGGTAGGGGAGAGAGGAGTTGGTGGGTGGTAGGGAAGAGAGGGGTTGGTGGGTGGTAGGGAAGAGAGGAGTTGGTGGGTGGTAGGGGAGAGAGGGGTTGGTGGGTGGTAGGGGAGAGAGGAGTTAGTGGGTGGTAGGGTAGAGAGGAGTTGGTGGGTGGTAGGGAAGAGAGGAGTTGGTGGGTGGTAGGGGAGAGAGGGGTTGGTGGGTGGTAGGGGAGAGAGCAGTTGGTGGGTGGTAGGGGAGAGAGGAGTTGGTGGGTGGTAGGGGAAGAGACGAGTTGGTGGGTGGTAGGGGAGAGGAGTTGGTGGGTGGTAGGGGAGAGACGAGTTGGTGGGTGGTAGGGTAGAGACGAGTTGGTGGGTGGTAGGGGAGAGGAGTTGGTGGGTGGTAGGGGAGAGAGCAGTTGGTGGGTGGTAGGGTAGAGACGAGTTAGTGGGTGGTAGGGGAGAGACGAGTTAGTGGGTGGGAGGGGAAGAGAGGAGTTGGTGGGTGGTAGGGGACTGGGGTGGGTGGGGGGGAGGAGAGAGGGGTGGGTGGTAGGGTAGGGTAGAGAGGAGTTGGTGGGTGGTAGGGGAAGAGACGAGTTGGTGGGTGGTAGAGGAGAGAGGGGTTGGTGGGTGGTAGAGGAGAGAGGGGTTGGTGGGTGGTAGAGGAGAGAGGAGTTGGTGGGTGGTAGGGGAGAGGGGTTAGTGGGTGAGTTGGTGTGGGGGAGAGAGGGGTGGGTGGGTGGGGGG